GTTACTCCAGCCCGAGTCGCTGGTAGCAAAAAACATCTAGTGTTGGGAAGGATCTAGGTGCTCTACCCAGTTGTTTCGAAGTCCAGCTTTGCCCTCAAAGATTATCATAGGCGATATCCAGCTCCCGTCAGCACAAATACAGTCTAAAGTTGTTATCCACTCCCTGCTGCCGTCTCTAACAGCTGCTCGAACTTTCTTTTCATCCCAAAGTCTCTTGGAGAACACCCTTTTGGTCCTTGAAGTGACACCAAGGAGAAAGCCCTTTTCGTCCATATTATAGATATTTTGCGGCTGGATATCGTATTTCTCGATATAATCGTGAAGTAGACGGAAGTAATTATGGTAATCTTCAAAATCGTCAGCTTTTTTGCGGTTTTGGTCGATGCCGGCGGTGTTTCTGGTGATAATTTTCTCTCTGTTCCGCCGAAGAAATCTTGTAACCCAGCTGTTAGATGGCTGTCTTTTTGCAATATTAGCAACATATTTTTTAATCATCTCTCGGGACGGTGGAGTACTACGCTCAGAGAGTTTTTCTATGTGCTGGACAAGGTATTTCTCTTGTTGTGGTGAGAGTAGTCGTCGTGGGTGTGCAGCGGCTGCACGCGACCGCGTTTTGTTTTGGTGGCGACGCGTCAAAGTTGATGCCGCAACACCATATATTTTTGCAGCTGCACGGTACGAGATTTGTCCTTCTGGACCTTGCGAATTGATTGCCGCAAGCGCTTTTTCGATAGCTGTCATGGTGGTGGAGTTGTGGGGATTTGAAATTGGTGGGTTCTACTTTGGGAGATGCAGGGGGTGTTGCATTGTCTGACCCGTTGCACGCATTGACCACCCACACTAGCGGAAAAAGTGGGGCGACCCACCGCTACCCCACTTCGCGTGTTTGCCCACGTCAACCTCACGCGTTTCCATCTCAGCCTGGTGACTTCTGCCTCGCAAACATTAACAGCACAATTAGTTTGGATATAGCTTTATAAACTCGAACTAACGACTAGAGCTTCCGAAAGAAGTTTTCTAGTGGTTATCAACCTTTTTCTTTGACACTTTTTGTCAGTCCGAAAGCCTCACTAAGCCATTCAAAATATGTCTCACGCACCCAGAGGCGGAGGCGATAGAGGCCGCGGTGGATTCCGTGGCGATCGTGGAGACCGGGGCGGTGGCCGTGGAAGTGGAAGAGGTGAATTTAGGGGCCGAGGCCGAGGAGATGGTAGGGGAGACTTTGGCGGTGGGCGAGGTGAGTTTGGAGGCCGTGGAGACTTTGGGGGCAGAGGAGGAGGAGGAGGAGGAGGAGGTGGTGGTTTTCGAGGAGATAGAGGCGGATTCCGGGGAGATAGAGGCGGATTTAGAGGTGACAGAGGTGGTGGGCGTGGTGGAAGGGGCCGCGGCGGTGGCCCACAGGAGATTGAGGCATTTGCGTAAGACACACCTCTCTCAAAGACAATGTTGCACTAATTCTATTGTAGAAACCCCAAGCCACAAGATCCAAAGGTTGCGAAAATTGAAAATGCTTTGCATCCACTTGGAAAAAAGACTCTCGACCTCAGCCGACTGAATTTATCCGAAGGCAACCCAACCCGTCCTGGTTATGGTACTCTTGGTGCCAAGGTTGAGCTCACGGCCAACTATGTCGAGCTGCTTCCGCCTTCAAATCTTGTCTTGTATCGTTACAACATCGATGTTGATCCAGAGGTTGCCGGTAGAAAGCGCCACCGCGTTGTGCAGTTGCTGCTCGAGAGGCCAGAGCTGGAAGAATACAAAGGTGCCATTGCGACTGATTTCCGCTCCACTATCGTTTCCAAGACCAAATTCAAGCATGACGAAGACATTGTGGAAGTCCAGTACCGTTCCGAAGGCGAAGACGAGCCGGCGCCGGGAGCTCAAGTCTACAAGATCCGCATCCTCTACACAAACACCTTGACTGTTAGCGAGCTGGTAAACTGGATGAACTCGACCAATATTGGCCAGCCGCTTCAGGATAAACAGGAACTGACACAGGCACTCAACATCTTTCTCAACCACTTTGCCAAGTCTGCGCACAACCTTGCCACTATTGGCACATCCAAGAGCTTTTCCCTACACCAGAACGCAGCCCGAGGCGACCTGGGTGCCGGCTTGGAAGTGATTCGTGGCTTCTTCTCGAGTGTCCGCATTGCGACATGCCGCGTCCTGGTCAACATCAATGTCAGCCATGGAGCGTTCTACCACACCGGTCCTTTGCCAGCGCTCATGCAAAACTACGGCGCTCGAAACACGACTGCTCTCGAGGCATTTCTTAAACTCATCAGAGTTCAAACCACACACTTGAAGGAGAAGCGAAACAAGGCAAACCAAGTCATTCCTCGGATCAAGACCATCTTCGGGCTTGCCAGGAAGGATGACGGACATGGAATGGTGCACCGACCTCGCATCCAAAGACACGGGGCTGGAGCTAAAGAGGTGGAGTTTTGGCTTGACAGCGAAGGCAACCCCAGTCAACCCAAGGCTGCGCCTGGGAAAGCCAAGGGCAAGGGCAAGCCTCCACCACAGGGGCCCGCGCCTGCCGGCTCTGGCAAGTACATCAGCGTGTTCGATTTCTTCCGCACAAGTAAGCACCCTCCGTCCTTGTGGGACTAAGCTAACCACAATGCAGCGTACAACCGCACCCTTCAACACCCTGAGCTTCCCGTCATAAACTGTGGCAATCGAGAGAACCCTATGTACCTCCCCGCAGAAGTCTGTGTCGTGATTCCGGGTCAGCCAGCCAAGGGGAAGCTAGATGGACTTCAAACCCAGGAGATGATACGATATGCGGTTAGAAAACCTTGGGAGAATGCGAGATCCATCGTTGATGAAGGCATCGCGACTATTGGCCTGGATGCAAATACAAACATACTTTTGGTAAGTCTGCCCCCTCCCCCCCCCCTGGAATTTCTACATACTTACCATGCGCAGCGTTCCTTTGGACTTTCTATTACACCCGGACTGATCAAAGTGCCTGGGCGTGTCTTGCCTGGACCAAGAGTCCTATACAAAGGCAGCAAGACGGCCGATCCACGATTCGGCAGCTGGAACATGATTGACATTAATTTCAATACGGGCGCTTCCCTCTCAAAATGGAGGGCCGTGATGATTGGGCTTCCTGGCAGACGCGACGCTTTTGGGCAACAAGACCTAGCTGCCCTGATGGAAGAGTTTCACTATGGCCTCCGCAAGATTGGTATCAATGCTGATCCACCACTGCCGTCTGAAAGGCTGCAGTTGAAAGGTCCGGACGACCCGAATCTCGACTCTTATCTAAAGGATACCGCTCGCAAAGTCCAATTGCTGTTCGTCATACTGCCCGAGGCCAACATTCCACTGTACAAGCAGATCAAGACGCTCGCCGATAGGGACCACGGATTGCACAACGTTTGTGCCGTTGGCTCGAAACTGGCCAAACCAAAAGGACGTGATCAGTACATTGCCAACGTCGCGTTGAAGTTCAATCTGAAGCTCGGAGGTGTGAACCAAAAGGTGGAGAACAAGAATCTCGGCATCATCGAACAGAACAAGACTATGGTGGTTGGCATCGACGTCACCCATCCAGCGCCAGGCTCGGCTAGCAATGCGCCGTCCGTGTCAGCAATGGTTGCGTCAGTGGACAATGTTCTCGGCCAGTGGCCTGCAACCCTTCGCATCCAGAAGAGCAGACAGGAGAATGTCGATGATCTTGCCGGGATGCTCAAGTCGCGTCTTGAGCTGTGGAGAACAAAGGGCAGACACCAAGCATTGCCGGAGAATATTCTCATCTACCGCGATGGAGTTTCAGAGGGTCAGTACGACATGGTACTTGCAGAAGAGCTGCCACAGTTGCGAAAGGCATGTCAAGAAATGTACCCGGCGACCGACACCAAGAAGGGTCTCCCGCGCTTCACTGTTGTCATCTGCGGCAAGCGCCACAAGACGCGCTTCTATCCCACGAGTGTGCAGGACGCTGACCGCTCCGGCAATACGAAACCTGGCACTGTCGTCGATCGTGGTGTGACAGAAGCCCGCAATTGGGACTTTTTTCTCCAGGCCCATGCCGCGCTCCAAGGCACCGCTCGACCCTGCCACTACTACATTGTCCACGATGAGATCTTCCGCCAGGTCTACGCCAAGCAGATCCCCCCGCCCTTCCAGAACGTCGCCGATATCGTCGAAGACATTACGCACAATATGTGCTACTTGTTTGGCCGCGCAACCAAGGCCGTCAGCCTGTGCCCGCCCGCGTACTATGCCGATCTCGCATGCGACCGCGCCCGATGCTATCTCGCCACTCTGTTTGACACGCCCGCTCCAAGCGCAGTGCAGTCTGCGGCCGGTACGTCGGTGACTGGAGCTGGTGCTGGGAGTGTCGCTGCGCCTGATCCTGGCGCGGTCCAGATCCATCCCAATATCAGGGATTCGATGTTCTATATCTAGGACCTCATGTCATTCAATACTGAAGGATGCTATTTTCGTTTCTATACAGGAATAAACTGCTTGATCCTTGCAAGACCCTTGGTGAGAGTGACCCATATCATCTTTCCACGACGCCTTTACCAGATATTGTTCCTTCACTAGTCACTGGATCCGGACGGCGCGCTTCGGGTCATGTGAGTGTCCAGTAGCGAGCTTGGCACGCGTACAAGACCAGCGCGTTCTCCCGGCCTCTCCCTCCTCTCCAGTAGTTGTTTTGCCGCGAAGGATGAGGGGTATCACTTCTGATTATATATCGACAAGCTTGAACAGGCTCATATTACCTGTCAGGTACACCAATAACCAGTAGTTGTTTTAACAGTAAGTCGACCCTGTTAATTTGATGGAAGCAGAGAGCTGACCTTGTCGCAGATATGGCTGACCATAATGTTGATTCGTACTACTCGCCTACACCACAACCAGACAATCAAAACCAGACACCCGGTGTATATCGCCCCATGCGTAAGTTTCTGCATCGAACCCATAGAATTTGACTGGAAAAGAATAGCCCTGCATGGTGGCCAACCGCCACAAGCCCCAACATTCCAGCCGCCTCACTACGGGGCACCGGCATATCAGCCAGCGGGCCCTGGGGTACCAATATCCAGCCCCAGGCTACCAACATGCAGCCTCAGGTTTCCCACCAGCCCACACTCCGGCGTATTCCCCTCACACTCCGGCGTATTCACCTCACACTCCGGCGTATTCACCCCAATCGTTGTGGTATCAGCCCCAGTCGCCGGGCCTCCCTACCCAGACACTGAGCTTGCCCCCGACATCAAGCTACCAGCAGCAATATGTAGCGCCACACTATCCGGTTTCATCGCATCAGGCACCTCCCTATGGTGCACCTGCTCCGGTGCCTCAGACGTCTTCACAGGCCCCTCCCACAAGTATACGTAAGTAAGCTGCCTTAATCATACGTACTATCACTAACAAAGAACAGAGTTTACCAACAGCGGCTAGAACCACCCGGAGGACGAGCGGGTAGAACAGGCTGTCCTTCGCCACCAAGATCACCTGTCCAGATCACTACCGTCGCTCGAGGAACCGGAATCTGTACGTCCGTTGCTCTCTTTATCGCAACAGCAGCGACAGTAACCACAACAGTCACCGCAACCACCGCAGCCAGCCAGGGCCTCCCGCAAGCGCTCTGTGATAAAGACTGGAATCCCAGACGACAGTACGCCGACGTCATGGCAACCGCCGCGCGCAACTGAGCCTCCAAGTTCTTCGCCCAGACGCCAAAGACAGACCAGGTCATGGTTTCCAGGCGGAACATGAGAGCTTTGCTGACCTTGCAATAGACCAATCCGAGCCAGTACCAGACCCAGGACCAGCCAGCCGCGCCAGATTCATCGCCCTCCTGAACGCGGCGATACCTCTCGCAGACCCTGCAGATCCACTACAGGTTCGCATAGCTGATGCCATTCGGCTTGCGCTACAAGACATACAAGCTGAACAACCATTAGTATATAATTTTGCAAATCGCCGGCGAACGAAGACGGCGGTTGTCCTGTTAGTAATACCGCACATTTCTCTCTTGCTTAGTTCTCGTGCACGTGAATGACCGACACGAACAGTTTGGAATGATTGTCGGGTTTCATGTAATGCACTATATAACATGTCACATTTGTAGTGATTGGGTTCAAAAGCCAAGAAAAATGTAGTATATTTTATCATACATTGTCAAGCAGTGTCAGAGTTAGCCACCAGTTGAAAAAAAAGGACAAAGTAGATAGATGAAGATACATGGCCACCAATCGAGGAAAACCACAAAGCGCTGTGCAAAAAGAGGAAAAGTCTAGTCGTCTGGTAAAGCAGGATGCGAGGTTTCGGGTACGATGTCTTGAGAAGACAGATCCATGCCAGCCTCAAAGTCCAGTCTGGTTGTTCGAAGATTGCTTTGCAAGAGTTCGCGCAGCTCGGCGTCATCGTCTGTGTGCATGCTTAATCGATGAGACGCTGTGCATGCTTAATCGATGAGACGCTGTGCCTCGTCCATCATGGCCAGACAATCACGCACGTCGGCATCTGAAATGGGTGCCTTGCTGGCTTCCTCGCGAAGAAGCTCTTCGTATCTGGTTTGGAGTCTGAGGCTTTCCTGGGCGGTCTGATGCGGCAGGTCGGCGAATTCCTTGTATTTTGGTAGACTAGTATTGACTTCGGCCTGAATTTGGTCTTGGTAGGTTTTGGAATCGTTGCGGATCGAACGAAGCTGTTTCGATTTGTCCGGGCTGAGTTTGTTTGCTGACTGGATGCTGAGGCCGGCTGGTGCAATGTTAAAACCAAGACCAGTGTCGTAGTAACTCTGCGTGATTTGGAAGTAGATCTCCTCGCCGAGTTGGCGCTCTTCGACGCTGGTGGGGAACCCGACAATGTACGTCTTCCAGTGGAAGACGGGCAGGCCGTCTGTGGTCTGGAACTTGAGGCGGCATATGTATCCGGCGTACGAAATAAAAACTCAAATGCTGTACGGGAGCAAATGCATTTCTTTTCTATTGCCCCGAGTGGTGGTCCTTTGACGTTTCATGGTTGCATGCTCATGGATCTAATCAAAACGACAATCTTTTTGCGTGTCAAGATGTATGTTCCCCTCATCTGCAAGTGAACAGTGTCATGAAACAATAGCCCTTCCATTCTCATGCCCTCTTAGTGGCAAGAAGAGAACTGTTCATTCTCAAATATCAACAATGCCAACGGGGATACTGGGTGAGAACGCTTTCATGTAGCTACACTGACAAAAGTCTCTCGTGGGAAATTTCCGGTTTTTTTTTAAAAAAAAATAAGTAAGCTAGAATAAAACAAGTAGGAGAAACAAAATTGAAACATGCCCAACATGCCCATCGAGACCAGTCCAATGATATACATGAAGGAATTACAAAAGCACTAAAGAAATATACCGAAAGAAAAGAAAAGAAAAAAAGAAAAGAAAAGAAAGAAGAGAAAAACACACGGAATCTCACATAACCCTCCCATAGCCCGGTCTTCTTTTCCTGAATCCCACCGCCCTAGTCTACATTCGAAGTCGAATTCGAATCAAGAAACTTAAAAGCCACCCTCGTCGGCATCGAAAAACTCTGTTGCTGCACTGTCTGTACTCTTCCAGCTCTCTCTCGGTATCTTGTCTCGTAACCATGTCAATACAGCGTCTGTTCCCTTTTGTAGGATTTGGCGATTGGGCACTCGGAACTTGTTTCCCTCGACTTCGAAGCCAGTGAGCGTTCCCTGGAGCAAGCCGATGCGTGGTTCCAGACGTTCGATATCGTTGTTGCCTAGATTGACAATTCTCAGGTTGGTTAGGCTTTCAGGAGATACCTCGGAGATCCTGTTGTCCGATGCCAACAGGGTTGTGAGCGAGGGGAATGAGACGTGGAGCGCCGGCAGAGCACCACTCAGGCGGTTGATTGAGACGTCCAAGGTGATGAGGTGAGGCGCTGTGAGATGCTCTGTGAGGGAGTTTAGACTTGCCAACTTGTTGCTGGCGAGACGGAGATCCCGGAGTTGAGGAAGTTCGATTGGCGCCGAAAGTACGACCTCGATAGTATTTCGAGAAAGATCAAGAAGAGTGAGGTGTTGGAAAGTCTGTACAACAGGCGGGATGGCGTCGAACTTGTTGCGCTGCAAGTGTAGTTGACGCAAACCATTGACGAGGACTTCTGATGTGGCGTCATCGACATCAAGCTCGCTCATATCCTTGCCTGCCAAATCCAAAGTTCCAGAAGGCGTAAGTTCCCACTTGGACTGAGGTGTCTCGGTAATGTCATCATCGAGTTCTTCTTCAACGTCAGCTGGCGCAGCCTCAGCAGGCAGCCTCGAAGCCAAGTCACGCTTCAAGTCTTCAGTACCCATGGTAAGGAACTTTCGGTCGCGCAGCGGGTTCGCAGCGACGGTGAGGTGATCCAAGTTCTCCATGAGAGCAATCTTTTCGTCAAGCTGGGTAATGTCGTTGCCCGTGAAATCTGCAGTACGAAGCTGCTCCAGAGTGGTGAAGCCTTCTGGCAAGGCTGTAAGCTTGTTCTCACCTACCAAGAGAGTGATGAGCTTGCTCCAAGTGGATACTGCAGGCAATGAGGTAAGGCGGTTCGTGGAGACATTCAAAATCTTGAGGGCGGGCAAGTCGATAGAGTCGCCCTCGCAGAACAAAGTAAGGGAGTTCTGAGCGACATGCAATTCTTGCAAATATGGTACAGATCCCTGGGTGAATAATGCGCCCTCGAGGCGGTTCTTGGATGCCTGAAGCTCGACAAGCGCCGAAGAAAAGACTTGGCTGGGAATGGCACGAAGCTGGTTGTCGGTGACATTGAGAGTACGCAGTTGGGTCAGGCGTTCCAAGCCAGCAGGCAAGCTGGTCAGCTTGTTCGACTGCAAATCCAGGACCTCTAGTGCGGTCAGGTCGCAGAGGGTGGGGGATAGATCGCCCTCCAGGCTGTTCTCGGCTAGCTTCAATTCGCGCAGGGTGGGGATCTGAGCAATGATGTCAAATACATCCATGGGCAACTTGTTCCTGGACTGGGCTTTGTCAGCAGTGTGCATGCAACACGCGGCGTAGGGTTCTGGCAATGACCTACAAGATTCAGCTTGGACAGCTGGCTAAGTCGTTTCAGACCCATGGGCAGCTCTTGAAGCATGTTACCGTGCAGGTCCATGTTTTGGACTCCTCCGAACTGAGGACCCGCCTCGTCAGAGTCAATCACGTCTTCGACAGAAACATCAGGGAACATGCTATCTGGAATAGCCTCCAGCTCGTTGTCCGCAGCTAAAATGGAAGTGAGGTCTACAACCTCGCCCCAAGCCACCTTTGTGTCGTTGGGATCGTAAATGTACATGGAAAGCACGTCATCTGGTATCTCCTTCAAGCCCATGGCAGCAATGTTTAGGCGACCGTCTCCGCGAGCAGCATCAATACGCCGGCGCAGAACAGAAGCTCCAGCTTTGGGACGCTGGTTGAAGGGATCTTCGTTGAGCCCAAAATCAAAAGACGCAATCTCGGCCGGATCAGGAATGATGACGTCGGAAGGAGGTGTAGTGTTTCTGACGGGCTCGGCCTTTGCCCGCTTGGCGGCTTCCCTGGCCTTTGCAATTTGTTCTCTCAGAGCATTCGAGGAACTGCCTGTCTTGGCTGGGGTTGCAGCGGGCGCAGGGGCAGCGTCTGGCTTCATTGCAGCCTTGGCCTTGGCAATGTGGTCACGCAGGGCGGAGGAAGAGCTCGCGACCCTGCGAACAGTGTCTGGCGTCTTTCTTACGGGTGCGTCGGTACTGGGCGAACTGACCGACGCGCCAGGGGGCGATACTGCTTGTCCAAACATGTTGCCCATGGATGCTCGGGTTCTTGGTGTTCGCAAAGCGAGGTTTTTGCCGTTGGTGGGCGGGCGTGCCTTTGGGGTATCTTGAGAGCCTGGCACTGGGGATATTGGCTGCTTCTTGATCACTGATGTACGGCGCGAGATGGACGCCTGTCTGCTGGGCGTCGCAGCTGACGAGACGACATTGGTGCTCGCGCTGCGCTTTCCCGGAACGGTCATGGACAGTCTGTTGGAAGCGGCGGCGGCCCTCTTTGGTGTGGATATGGCGGCTGGCTGCGGGCCGTCGCTTGTCGATGGTCTGCTGCCATTGGACGTGGCGGAGGCAGGACGCAAGGGTGGAGGCATGCTGCTGTCGCCATTGAAGAAGCTCGACCTGCGTCTTCCCTTTTTCGGGGCAGGCGAGGTGGGTATCTGCGATAGGCTTTCTATGGTCCGTTCCGAGAGCGAGGGGCGGCTGTCCTTGCTGTGGAGGCTCTCTGGCTGCTCCGAGCCATCTGAAATGACGCTCCCGGGATCGTGGTCGTTTTCATGGAAGCCGGTTCTTGAACTTGCGCGTGACGAGGCGCGCGAGGCGGAGCTGAAGCCCTCGAGGCGGCTCAGCGTATCTTCTGGTCCGCCGGGGACGGATGACGACGTCGGCCGCGACGAGTCCTTTTCCTGGTGCGACGCGGGGCGGGCAAAGGGCTTCTTGAAGGCGGGCGTGTCGCTCTGGCTGGAGGCGGCCGTCGAGGTGCGTCGCTGGCCAAGGTTGGGGATGCCGCTCACTCTGCGGGAAGAAGCAAGGGGGTTCCGCGCCGACGCTGAATTGGCAGACGCGGCGGCCGGAGCGGCGGCGGCCGGGCTGTTTGCGAGGACGAGCGAGGCCCTGGATGTTTTCTTCTGCAGCGACGAGGCGGTTGGGCGCGAGATGGACGACAGCGAGGGCTTCTTGCGCAGCTGGTCCGACGACGGGGGCGCCCGCAGCTGGGACTGGCTGGCCGACTGGCGGAGGACGGGGAGGCGCGAGGCGGGGGCGGGCCTGGGGATGCCCGAGGGACGGGCGAAGGGCGACGACGAGGGCTGTTCCATGGTGTCGCAGGCTGTGGTTCACATGCAACTAATGGGGGGGGGCCCAAGGGCTGGAGGGCGACGGGCGCGAGGGCGACTGGGGCAGGCAAACACGACCGACGGCCGTGACTGACAGGTTGCCTTCGCTGGTGGCGACGGGCAGTGCTGCCGCTCGTGCCAATTCTCCGCGCCGGGTCCGCGTTCGAGTCTGAGCGTGAACGCGCGGGCGACGGTTGCCCAGCCGACCCGCCCTGGCCTCTTTTATGCCATGACGCGCCCGCTTTGGGCCTAGCCGCGATGCCCGTTGCCCGTTGCCCTGAGCAGGAGCGACCCGCCGGCCCTCGCTCTCACTCTCTCCCTTGCCCTCCACACACGCCGCCCGCCGCCCGCCGCCTGCACCGCCGCGCACCCCCATCGTCACGCCTCTCGCCGCCCCTCCCTCTCCCTCTCTCTCCCCCTCGCGCCCCAGGCCCGCCCTTGCAGCGCACCCTCACCCACACACGCACATATACCTACAACACACACATATCCCCGCCGCCTGCCGCCGCCCGCGCGACCCCGCCTCTCGGCCACGCGCCCATTGACGCGCACCCCTGCCACCGCCTGTTTCGTGCTCAACGTCCGCCGCTGCTACCTCGCGTCTTGTGACGGCGACAGCGACACGACACGACAGCGACAGCGACAGCGACAGCGACAGCGCCCCCCGTCCCCGCCGTCTTTGACACTGCCTCTGCCCGTGTGTCAGGCCTGCACTGGACAAAGCGCGCCTCAAAGCCGCCATTGTTGCCCCAGACGCCGTCCCGGGCACCATGGAGTCCCACGCACCGCAGCACCAGCTGCCCCAGGACTCGCTGATGCCTATGCCCGAAGCCGCGCCGCGCCCTGAGACGCCGCTCAAACTTGGCTCAGCTTCGCCCGCAGAGTCGAGCGCCGCCCTCAGCACCTCCAAGCCCGCATCGCCAGAGCGCAACAAGTTCGCTTCCCCCGCACCACGCACGGCTTCGTCCATGACGCCTCCGCCCTCTTCTCAGGTCCCAGGCACGCGCCCTCCAATGCGCACCCCGTCTCCCCCGACCCCCCAGCTCACTTCTCCTCCGCCCACTAGTAAGCTGCCTGACCAGCCGCCCGCCCTGAGCGACATGGGCGCAGGCCTGTACCCCCAGGACCAGGTGAACAGCGCCTCAGCCGAGGAGCTGCGAGTCATGGTCAACAGCCTGTCCAACGCCCTGCGTGATATGCGATTGTCGGCAGCCCACTACAAGCTGCAGCACAACATGGCCGTCATGGAGAGCCAGGAGTCTGCAAGCCGCATGGCTGTTGAGCTCGCCATGGCCCACCGAGAACTCGACGTGCTGCAGCAGGCTGAGGAGAAGCGCCGAGCCACCATGGCTGTGCCCGAGCAGACATATCAGGAGTCTGCCAATGCTGCCAATGCTGTAATGCTCGCTGAATTGAGTCGCCAGAACCAAATGCTGCAGAACGAGAACGAGGAGCTGCGAGAATTGCTCGAGCAGCAAAAACGCCGGACAGAGCACCGCGAGGGCGAGCTCGCAAGCCTCATTGAGGAGAATGACCGGCTCAAGACGAGGATCCGCAACAATCGCGACCACATTGCACCTCTGCTGGAGCAGATTGAGCAGTCTTCGCCGCGATCCAACTTTGGAACTCCCGCCCAACCTACCCCAAGAAATCGCCTCAATCGCGTCCCACCGCCTCCACTTTCGCAGGAAAGCAGGAGCCAAAGTAACTTTGAGGCTCTGTTGCTAGCTGACAAGATGCTCAGCCAGGACGTCTCTACTGCTCCTTCGACACCCAACAGAGTACAGGCGCCAAGGCAACGCTTCAGTCACCAGCGAGGAGCGCAATCCATGTCGTCCCTGCCTCGGACACCCAATCCGAGAGTTACCTACCCCCGCGCCGAGGTGCCTCGCACACCGCCCTTCTTCATGCCCACCAGCATGCCTCAATCAGCGCCTCCCGCACACTACCAGCAGAAGCCAGAAAACCCTCGGCGCCAGAGCAGCAACTCTACAATCACTGCATCTGACATTGATGACGAAGAAGCCTTTACCGACCGGGAAGATGACCAGATACCCGAATCCCAAGCCAGCCAGATGGCAAGAAGCCTACTTCAAAAACCACCGCCTGCCAAGGGCATGATGTCGGCACCAGCATCTCAGCCCTCGAACCTCATTCAAAGCAAGATTTTTGGCCAAGTGAAGAAAGGCCACGGCCTAACCCGCGCAAACGAGCTCAAGCGAGCCCGTATGTCATCAACAGACTTGCACACGCATTCTAGTCCGCCCAAGCGCGGACGCCTCGATCAAGGAGTAGGTCTCGGCATTGGTGGTTTATTGCGCGAGTGAGAAATACGAACCGTTCCTGACCTTTTTGTGTGGCAGGGCGTCTTTTGAAGTTTTTCACGAATAATGATGGGCACGGCAGCAAGCGATCTTCTTGTCTTGGATGCTTGGATTGGCTTGGGTTGGATGTATTTGTTTTGCCGTTTTTTTGTCATGTTTTGGATACCCTTCTGGCCGTGCAATGTGGCACACAGCGACCTTGTTTGTATGTATGACTTGATGCTTGTATATTGGAGACGAAGTGGGCGGAGGACTGTATTAGATAGTTGACTTGAATGTATGAAATGACATGTCGGCTTCTCTGCTAGGAGACAGCACGTGATACATGGCCATGTCACGTGTACCTTCCTTGTCTCGTTGACTCAAAGACACGCCAAGTACATCATGATATCATCGCCTTGCTCCTTTGCTATTCATGTTAGCAACATCCCATCCGTCGCTGAAAATAAAACAAGGCAAATCACCTACTCTCCTCATCTCTGACTCCACCTCCCTTCTTTCTTCCAGCTCCCTTTCTCTTGCTATACCCTATCTGTTTCACATTCGTCTCATCTCTTTGTATGAAGAATTTGCATTCTTCATCTCCGCCATCATTTCCGTCTCTTTCTTGTTCTTTGTGCCGGGCATGTTTACGTTGTAGATTGAGAGTGTCTAGGCAGGGGATTGCCAGATACGCCGTCTTGTGATGGTTTATGGCTGGCAGAAGATATTTGGGATACTGGGGTGGTAGGGAGGGTCTGGGGTCTGGGTTGGTGATATGTTGAGTTAGGGAATAGAGATGTTTGGGAGGTTTATTTCACGATATAGGTTTTTGCTGTTTTCTTACTTTGTAGTGATACATCAAGCACGTGTCTGAATTACTTGTACGCGTTTCTCTTACCTTGTTCTTGCGGTAAGGCCGTATAGACACTTGACCGCTCATGATATATCACTGTGTTTCCTTATCTAGACAAAGTGTCAATCCTCCGTTACTGCCGTTCTTACCTTCCATCTCCCACCACGATTCTTCCTTGTCACTAAATACCTTATCTACTCTCGTGGCCTCTAGCACACCACTCACATTCACGTCGCGATGCCTCTAATTCAGCCATCCGACTCACACATCCCAGGGAGTACACAGCCACGCAATGAACAAGCCAGCCCTCATCTCATGGCGCAAACTTGCTAACAGTGATTGATGAGTACAGATGCCGACCGCGCTAGCAGGAGCACGCCACGATATGACGCGCTATCCGCCCTCACTCTCACGATGATGAGCATGGACTGGGTCAAGCGCCGCAGCAAGTGTTTGCTACCATCCTCTGACTCTGTATTTCTACGCGGCGATTATCCTGTTCCCAACTACCCAACTACAGCACCACGACAGAGACGATCGATACGCATACACGATGGATCACTTTTCGAACGACGCAATGGTAACTGAGACGAATGCTGCTCTAGAGCAGTTGATCAAAAAAGAGATAGACAGGTGTAGTGAGGCGTTGGCAGTAGCGCACAATGAGTGGAAACAGACCAAACAGGAGGAAGACGAAGTCTTCGAAGCTGAACAGATGGCTTTAGAGGAGGATCACGAGCGGGAAAAAGCGCATGAACGCTTACACGAAGACGAATCCAAGCTTCTCAAAGCATTGCCAACAAACCAACACATGGCAATGCTGCATAATGCGCTTTTGGTAAAGCAGAAGAAAGAAGCGATGCTCATTGAGGAGTGGTTCAACGCAAACAAGATCGCCAAGAAGAGGCTTCGCGAGGAGAGAGCCCGACGTCTAACAACTCTTAGGGGCACTTATGAAAGAGAGACCTACACGCTTACAAAGATGATCGAACAGCTCCGCCATATGGCTGAGGTTGCTGGTATCTTTGTCGGCGACACTGTCACTGATACCTCCCGCTCCGCGGTGTCCCCTCGACCATCTCAAGATCAAGCCAAAGCCGGCAGAACATGTATACTATCGGACCCCCCCCCCCCGCACATGATTATTCTATCCACTCTAATGGACACCACTCAATGGGTATAAGCATGCGTCGCAAGGCCAAGAAGCAATCAAGGCCGGTCTGTGAAGATGTCCCTAAGATATGCGAGAATTGCCAAGGCACACTGGGAGATAAGAAAGACAAGTCTCCAACTGTAAGTGGACTTTCAAACCACTTGATGTGTACTAACAGTAGAGCAGAAGCCCACCAATAGGCTACGAGCCTCACCTTCATCTAGTTAAAACCCCTCCTAAATATTGTAGCTAGAAACAATCTACTTAGATACTTGTAGGCCTAAGAACCCTACACGTCTTATATAGCCCTTCGGGCTGAAAAAGGACGTTAAACTAGAATAATAATAATAATAATAGAGCAGAAGCCCTCAACACCAGCTCAAGCAAAGATGCATAATCCATATCCAGAGTATGACAACCCCGCTACATGGATGCAGAACTTTGTGCAACAAGGTCACAACATCTTGTTCGAAGTCGCCAAGAGGTACGAATATGAGGTTGAGCAAGCCAATAAGCAGTTCTCAAAGGAAGACGACGCTATTGAGACTGCACTCCAAAAGTACGACGAGCAATGGTCCAGGACTATCAAGGTGAAGAGTGCGCTAGCATTAGTCCGAGACCACGAGCACAAGGACGACCTTAAGGAAGCTAGAGAAATCGTCAAAGAGCAGCTCAGGTCGATTCAGCGAGAACGCGAGGCCCTCGAGAACCGGAGGCCTAGGTGCGAAGATCAACACTATCGACGTCACAAGGCCACTGCAACTCTTTTCGAGAATCAGCCCAAATTCTATGATGCGATTGTCTATCGTATTCAGAGCGAAATGTTTGCCTACACCCAAGACGAGCAGCACTCCGAGTGAAGCGGTCGCAGGGCTTGAGGTACATACAATCACAGGCAAGGACAAACAAAAATTGGCAATAATGTACGGATTTGGTCAATATACACGTAAATTCCACTACATATACCCCTTGATGACATTTGCATGAACCCTCAAATCGCCCCTGTGCCAATCACGGTGGGTAACCCCGCTCAGGGTTCCAAGGTCCCTCCAACCACGCAAAAATGGTGAAATCCAGTCAGTTTTAGGCTGAAATCATCCTCTCTTCGTTAAAAGCCATCCGTCCCTCTGTATTCACAGCCACACTGTTCTCAGGAGGATAGTGCAACATGGTCAACTTGGAGTGGGTAAGTTCTGGACCTCTACTTCTCAACGATAACCAGCTGTCCTGATCAAGGCTGTACCGTGGTATCAGTCACTATTACGAAGCAGATGCTGACAGAAATTCCACTTTCGTATCACCGTGTACTCATGAGATTGCAGGTCCACAAGATAAGTTTCCCTCGGACGGCAAACTACGAATACGGAATGGAGCGAGAAGATGACACCAGAGAGGCTTTTCGGCTGAGCAAAGCGATGAGCCTGGATATTCCTAGAGAGTCGAAAACCGAGGCATCAGCCACCAGACGTATTCTTTCAAGTGGAAGGCTCTCAACCCACACCAGCGTCACAGCATACGAGAAAGGGGATGAAGGCACCGCCGCCTCAGCGGCATCAACACCAGCAGACAAGCCCACCTTTCTGCAAAGCCTCATTAGAAAACTGCAACCCAAGACCCCGCAGCCCTCGCCAATAACCGAGAAATCCTCACCAAGCCTGTATTCTCGAAAGACGACCCGCATCTTCGCGCTGCCCCAAGCGTGGAAAACAACTTTATTCCGCACTTCTCCGACTCCCATTCTCACCCCCTCGGAGCCAAGCACCATGGCCCCCGTACCCAAGCGCAACCCCATCCCCGCCCACTGGCGCATCGAACCGCTTGCGTCTGAGCGCAGCCTCCTGCTTTCCGAGCGCCAGAAGCGCGCTTCTCGCCGCGACAGCGTAGCCAGTCTTGGGGGTGAGAGGAGCGATCTTGAGGATGAGGAGGCGTTTCTGCGTTGGATGGCGCTCGAGGAGTGGAGGGTGCAGCACAAGATTCTCGTGGAAGATTATGAGAGTTTGACGGGGCAGGGTGTGGATGCTGTTAGTGTGCTGTGAGGGTATAATCGATTTGGTTCGGGGGGGGGGGGGGGGGGGTTTCTCTAGGGGTTTCGAGTGTCTGGCGTGTTTTGCTTGATGGGAACATGGTGTAATTCTGGTGCGTACACTATAGACGTAGACGAGTAATATAATCAAGGGTTCTGTCTTTTGTTGATTTGTTTCCAGCGGTGACCAACCTGGTCATGACGTGGTCTGAACGTGCTGGTTGTGTCCTACCAGCTCACTCTCATCAAATCGGTATAAAGGTCCTGTCCAACTTCTTCTTCGTATAGAGAGCGCATGTCTGGGCTCATTGGATCATTGGCAATGGACATGGGCACCTGGATGGCCTCGCACATTGGCTTCACGAGTTCTGGAAGCAGCTCGTTGGCTTTGGCCAAGAGCAAAGGCACAAACTTGGATGAGCCGCCGGGTAGCTTCGCGATTAACACCAGCAAGCTTACAAGGTCACCTGAAACATTTCGCTCGACTTGAGATGCTGCATAAGTCACAAAAGAAAGGACGTCGGCAAGGGCGCAAGCAATGTCAAACACCTTTTCAGTCTTGTGTGGTCAGCAATGAAGCAAGACTGATATTCGTGTAACATACCATTCCAACGCCATGAACCCGGAAGCTCTGGATTGGTAAATTTGTTGCGAGTGTCCATAAGTCCTTGGCCACTAGTATGGGGTACTTGAACATGAGGCAATCATATAAGGATTCTGCTGATAGATAGCCAAAGCGAGGGAAAAGTTCCCACAGCTTGATGCGCAGCCATAATTGAGAAACGCGGACATTCGCAGTCACTTCGTCTGATAGGTTAAGCACAGGAGGGAGTGCGCAGCGCACGTCTTGTTCGAGTTCCAGCAACCATTCCTTGGTACAATTGTGCTTGGAGCCGTTCCAAACAGCAAAGAAACTCTCGTCAAGGGGCCGGAAGATGGAAGCAAGATGGTACAAGCCCTGATCGTCGTCTTCCTCTAAACATGGAGTTGAAATCGTAATCGGAAGAGTGATGGGTTGGTGACGGCGCACGGCATGTGCCCTGAAGCTGTGTAAGCGATTTCTAGAATGCGAGTTGATCGTGTATTTACCTTTCCGATACGACCAGGATCCAAAACAGTCTTCTCCGTGTCTGAGCATCGTACCAGTCCTGATTCTCGTCTTTCAGCATCAGGAACAGCGTAGTAGCTTCTCTCAGGTAGAACCAAGCTTGGCGGTAGTTTCCTTGACCAGCGTATGCTCCGTATAGAAAGAAGGATATATAAACTGATCGAGGCTCTAGTTGTGTTACTCGTTCAGCGCTCTCGACAAGCAGCGCCCTCTTCAAGTAATAAGCCGATTTGCAACCCAGTGGAGATATGGGCGTCTGCGAAGACGCCTCGTCGAGTGAATTTGAGAAATTGGCGGCATATGCGCAAAACGCATGGACGAATTGGCAGGCAATGAATGAATTATTGCGTTGCGCAATTTGTGCTCTTAGAACTTCAGGATCCAGAAGAGATACGATATGATATATCCGACTCTCGTATTCGTGCATGAACTTTTCAACGTCGCTTTGCCTGTCCGCGGCATATGTGGTGGCTGAAGCATCTTGAGTAGGCACTCTTAAGGAACCGCTGCATGGATCAACGGCGGCATCATGTTCTTGGTGCCCTCGCAGCTCATGCAGTATCGGCGGTTTTGCTGGACGTCTACCGAGCCGTCTCCATGGTGCATCGAAAGAACACGTCTGTCCTGCTACTAAGCACACTTCACAGGGCTGGCAACCGTTACATTTAACCTTCCGCTGATGGCAGACGTCACATGCCCTGTGAGCCTTTCTTGGTATTCCTGATGCGGTATTTGGTATCGTTTGGTGTTGCGGAGGACCCATTGAAAGACTTGAATTTTCGAGATGGAGGGCAAAAGGCCTCGAGGTGAGACCGTCGTTTTAGCCGCTCGGCCGATTACGTAATGTTAATCTCCCCCTATCTCTCAACTTCAGCTCTTACGCTATTCCATGATTTTACATGTCTGGATTGATTTCACAGGTTCCTTTTACCGACTTATCTCCAAAGTAAAAGTAGTGGTTAAACTCCATTTCGCTAATCGCTGAGTAGAGCTCTCGTAACACATGTTCACGGTACCCTGGTAGGGTTGCAAGTGGAAAACGCCAATACAAATGCCACGGCTAGAACATGGGAACTTGTTGGGGAAAAAGTTTGGAGCTGAAATACAAGAGGCAAGAAATATAGCTATACAGGAACTGCGTTTACCTTCTCTGCAAGGCTAATCTTTAGAGTGTCTGAGCGGCTAAACAATTATCATGTCTAAGTAAATTGTATATTCGTTTCTAGCTATGAGCGCTAATCTGATAGGGCGGGGTTTTCGATTATGGTTTTTTTGGATATGGAGTGGTCACGGGTTCCGGGGTTATGTTAGTACACATAGTTGAAGCGTCACCAAACGCCGTGCAATCGGTGCCTGCTGTCATGCACTACGTCCTAGTCAGTGACGCCCTAATTACTCATCGATATAACTTACAAAAGTTGCTCTCCCATCCGGCAGAGAACCACATGGAAAGTTCACACCACCGGCTATGCAGATGCTAAAGCCGCTATTGAGGAAAGCGCATTTCTATTGTTATATTAGATACAGAAGCAATTGTTTTTAACCCTACTTACACCTGAACAACCGCCGGTTGCTTTGGGACAGCCAGAGTCATTCTGCTGCGGAGCAGCTGCGGCGAGCCATACTGGCAAAAGCAAGAAGTAGAGAGGATTCATTATCGTTGGCAGTGGTAGGTTAACCCGCTGATTATGCAGGGAGTTGTTGGGGAGAAACTTAAATCTTATACTCGTAATGAATCATAACTAAATCCGAAAGTGACGTAGTCTGAGTAAGACACGACAAACCCCAAGGCTGCTCGGTCAATCTCTCGACAGCTCTTCCCGCAATCTTGTTAAAATAGCAGGACTGCTTACCACGTACGTACTAGTACGGACGTAGAGCAACCTGGTACTAGTGCTGATGTGATAGGCCTGCGCGTCGTAAGCTACTACGATGTTCCAGACATCCAATCCATTCTAGAATTCACTCTTGGCGCACCGGAGCCTCCGGTATGCGGTAAAAGCGCAGATTTACCAGGTACCTCTTCAATCGCCGACGTAGTAGATTTCGTTACGCCCTAGCGTACCCGATAGTAGACAAGGGCGGTGTATCATCCCTAAAACCCTAGACATAATCAGCAGGCATTCCTGATTCTACATATTGTAAGCTGTATATTAGAGACGAGTTGCGTGCAATGTACGTTTATTCAAGTTTCAAGTAGGCGGTATTACTTATCGTAGATATTTCGAAAGTTAGTAACAATGCGTAAGGGCGGTGAAGTTACCATCGTTCTCCTTACAGAGTATTTTCTTCTTGATCTACTAGTGTCGGTGCCTGCGGCTCAACTAATGCTTTTAGCGGCTTTTGCGGGGAGGAAATCTTTGTCGTACGGCTTGCTACTGTTTTATAAATAGCTGTTGTCTAGTTAAGTAGGACCAAAGTAGAGCACAGCTTGATAGTGTCTGATTGGCGGCTGCAATACTGGTAGCAGGATTTGTAGTAGTGAAACTGTAACGTTGGTGGATGTCGGTAGTAGTGGTGGTGATAAGCGTAGAGCGAGGCCCCTGGGGTGCACTAGCGCGTAAGAACTCATGAAATTAGGCTTCAATTTAGGTAGCTTACCCGCGTTGCTGCGCTCTTTTTCTTACAGGCGGTATATGGTATACAAGCACATCAAGCACAGCCATAACCTAGCAACCAGCTGCAATCAACGTTGGTAGCGAGCTTAGATATCAGCCGTAATCAGACTGCCCTCTACGTACACTCGTCTCATAAATGATGAAACACCAAAACTGCCACATACGGCCATAGGATATCCGACTAAACAGAAACCCGTTAGCTCTTCTTGTGTTAAACGGTATTCTGGCGAGCTAGTAGCCAGGTGGGTGACCACCGGCGAATCCTCGCTGTTGTATGTTTTTTGTTTTTTGCGAGCAGTCTCCACTTCGTTGGCCACTAGAAACTATTACTTAGCGCCGGTTTTTTGGGAAAATGGTTTGCATGGCTACGCTGGTCTTGGCATGCGAGCATCATTGAATCTTTACGGCTGTAGTGACTAACCTAGATATAGTAACATTAGTGCCGCTGTATTTTACTAGGATAGACACTCGCTGTGATGTTTTGGTCGAGTTTGCGAGTTCCTCTGCGTTGAAATGGTCGTGGTGCAACTTGGATGAATTACTCTCTCTACTCAGCTTCTTTAGCCGATTTCTCATCCACCTGCCCATAGCCATATGCATCCACCTGGGTAGTAGCAAACTTTCTTGCACTAACACGCTGCTCAAAAAGCACATCGAGCTCACCATACGTCCTTCCCTTTGGTTCAGGGAGTCGAAAGTAAGCCCATACCACGACGCAGCCACAGGTCCCAGCCCAAAAGAAAGCCGTCTTCGCACCCCATGCCCAGTTGGCGTCGCCGAGCTGGTAGTTTGTCAAGACGTTGACGACAATATTGGATACGTTGTAGAGCGCGCGGGCCAAGACCATTGTCTTTGACTTTAACCTCGTGGAGGACATTTCAGATACAATCGAGTAGGTAACTGGTCCGATTGTAAAGTCATACACAAAGACGAAGAGAATCAGGACTGCGCCGATTGCCCAGTTAGAGGCCTGAGTACCGGCAAAAGAACATGACCCGACAACGATCAGAATGACGAATAAAGTGCAGCCGCCGGAGAAGTGTATGGCTCGTCGGCCAAAGTGTTGCATCAGAAACCATGAGCCGGCGGTGCCGATGAGTCCGAGAGCGAGTGAAATCATAGACATGTTGAATGATTGAACGGTTGGCAAGCCAGCTTTTTGCATAAAGTAAGCACTAATGTAGGTCAGCCTAGGATCATGTCTGTTAGGTCATTAAAGATTGCTTACAAGTAACCCATGATGTTGGTTCCACAAATGGTTTGAGCGATCCACGTAAAGCATACAATCTCAGTTCGGCGAAGGTCGGTTCCTTTGAACAAATCCGACCACCGCGTGCCCTCTGACATGTTCTTTTCCATTTCATTTGTATGCTCAATCATTGCAATCGTTCTGTCGGCGTTGAAGTTGGGATCCTTGTCAGGTGAGGTCAGACGGAGCAGCGCAGCTTTGGCGCCCGCCTTGTTCCCTTTGCGGACATGCCACCAAGGGCTCTCAGGTGCAAGAAACACGCCCACCATAATTGGGATAGGCCATACCCATTGTATGGCGAAAGGGATACGATAGGCCCATTGATCTGGTCGTTGCACACAGCCGCGATTGACACCCGCAGCGATAAACTGACCCATGACCCAGCACCTGAATATATAAGTACCTGTGACAGTGTAAGAATCTGTACGCTTACATGTTGACAAAGGTGGTTAGGATAGGCCTCAGGCGGACTGGAGCCACCTCAGAGGCATATTGCGTGGTCAGTGTCTGAAACATGCCCCAAGGTATGCCACAAAAGACTTCGCCAATGACCAAGGTCTCGACGTTGGGAGCAAAGAAAAGGATAAAGATAAAGGCCGTCATTGCCATAAGTGCGCCAATCATGGTATTTCTGTAGCCATAGCGTTCACTGACGAAGCCGTTGATGATCAATCCAATCACCTCGCCTGCTCTCGCACCGTTGGACCTGGCATTGTGAGTAAGAATATAAGAATGGCGATGCAAAAACGTACAAGGCGCTTTGCCAGCTGGCGCGAACACTATACTTGCCAGTATCAGGATTCAAGACACCGTATTTCTTATTAAATTCCGGGCTGCCATATAAACTCCCAAGCAATGCAAGGTCATAGCCTTCCATGATCAGGGCACTTGAGAGGACTACTGACCAGCCCATGGCCTTGGGGTAAAGCTTGATCGCCTGGAAGAGGCTCATAGCTTTCTCGTCGTTGGCCGCATGCTGAGCTTCTTCGTTCGGGGCCACAACATGTGTGATGGGCTGTTGAGAGTCCTTGGCTGTCGACATGGTGAAAAATACGAAAAATTAAATGGCACTCAGATCAACCTTTCCATGACGCCGGTGTATTGCCTTGAATTTATACACATCCATCACGAGCATGCACACGTGGCGATATAGGCTAAGCGTGATGCTCTGGAGCCCCGGATTCTGTTTCGAGTGCGAGATCGCCTGTGCGATACACTATGTACAGTGACCGTGCGCCAGATGGTCATGGTCGCCAGTTGGACACCCCAACAACAACAATATAATCAAAAAGATGAGGCTGTACAGCCCCCACAAATCGTGATAAAATTGCGCAAAGCTAAGATTATACTATATACAGGCCTACGAAAGTTTTAGCTTATTTAGATTTTTTTTTAGAGGGCGTTATTAGTCAGTCTCGTCGACTACGCGGTACAACAGCTGGTGCACCCCTTGCGGCTCTCACTACAGCTAGAGCAACACCACCACGCTTTTAACGCTTTGTAGCTAGCTTATAAGGTTTTGAAGCTTTGCGCTTACCCTTTTAGGGCAATTGTATAGCTTTTTCAGCGTCGCGGAGGCTTCTACAACGCTCCTTTTCAGCTTGCTCTGCAGCCCTCCACTTTCTGCTCTCCTCCTAACCCTTCTCCCGCTCAACACGCTTCACAGCTTTAATTTAAAGCTCGTAATCGCGATTTACCTTCTTAATCTTAGCTTACTTGGCTTTTTAAAGCTTTTTAAGCTTAGCTTGTTGTTGTTGTGCCTCCCAACGATCGCGGGATCGTTGTACACTCCTAGGCGACTATATTTTAGCTCCCCCATAGTAAACCTCGTCCTCATCAAGCTAGAGAGCGAATGACTGCTTTAGTCGCCTCTCCTTGATGGCTAGGGACTGCCTAAGGCCCCTAATCTCCTCATGAAGTATACTGTTTTGAGCTGAGATGTGGCACAAGCTTCGTTGAAGCTTCTTAACGTCCTTACTGCTCTAATCCTTCACCTCACAGCGTACGATTGATTTAAGCTTGAGCCAATCGTCTCCGGAGAGGACTGACTGGCTGCTTTCAGAATCTGAAGCCTCCTTGGCAAACCTCTTGAGTACAACGTCTGGGTTGGCTGGCTGTATACCAGTGGCTTCAAAAGACCTTTTGATGAGTTGAGGCCTGAATACAGAGGTCCAGGACCTCCAGAAGAGCGGGAAGAAGTCTCCTTTGGTCAAATTGAGCAACCCCTGGCTGTCCTGTAGGTATCCAGATAACTAAGTTGAGTAAGCTGTTGCTAGGGGTTTGAACATCACCACATCAAGTGGTTGAAGCGTATGGGTAGCGTGAGGTGGAAATACAAACAAGAGGATCTTGTTGTCGTGGCAATACTCAATAAACTCCATAGTTACATGGGATCCGTGGCCGTCAAGGATCAATAATCGATACCCAGTTGAAGCGTATCGTCTGGTCTCCCGTTCAAAAACCCCCTTAAGCCAAGCTAACCTAATATTGTTGTTGGTCCAGCCAGAGGGAGATAAGGTTACAAAGACTAAGTGCTCGTCGGCTTGTATAGCTTCAACCCAGTTCAATTAAACCAACCTATTAGATCCCTAGAAGATAAGTGTTAGACTCAAAGCTATACCATCTAAATAAATACAAGCTATAACCGTTATCCACTTAGTTAAGCCATCTTCAAGTGCTTGCCTTGCCCCTTTTTGCTCGTAGAGTCTCCTACTGAATATACGTTTTGTACTGCCAACCCAGCCAAGTTGAAACCCCTTTTCGTCCATATTGAATATATTAATGGGTTGTATATTGTACTCCTCGATCTTTTCATGTAAAAGCTTGAAGTACAAGCTGTACTTAGCCCCTAATCAGCTTTAGTCCGCTCCTTGGCCATAGCTTTGCCCGAGCGAGAGATGAGATGGTTAGGATGCCGGCGGAGATACCGGGTAACCCAGCTTTCGGAGACCAGTTTGCCAGCCAACTGGCTAGCAAACTGTTGTATTATTGTTCTTGTAGGTGGCAAACGTCGTTTGGTAAGCGTTTCGACGTATCGTACAAGCTCGGCTTCGCGTTCTAGGTGGAGGGATTGGTTGCGTAGGCTATAGTCGTCGCTTTGGTGTTTGTGTCGTCTTATTAGCGTCGTTCGTGGTACGTTGTACTTTTTAGCAATTTGTTAGTACGAGAATTGTTCTCCTGGCTCTCGCGATTTAATTTCTTTAATCGCTTTTTGGATCGGGTTCATATTGGTTGAGTTATGACGCGTTGAAGTTTTGTTGTTGTTGTGGTGGGGGTGTCCAACTGGCGACCATGACCATCTGGCGCACGGTCACTGTATTATTATTATTATTATTCCATTAGAGTCTATCTGCAGTCAGTGACTATGTAAGACTTTGGCCAGAGGCCGTTCTAGGTACAATTTGTTTAAAGTGAGAGTGTTCTCTGTATAGTACTGCTATTGTGCTGCGGTTTAGTCGCTTCTAGCTGCGCTTAAAGCAGACTCCAGTTGCTGAAGAGCAGTTTAGTAAACAGGAAGAGATGTTAGATAGCAGGGCTGTCTTCCAGCGAGCTCTTTTAGGGCTAAGGAAAGTAACTTAAGAAAGTTTGTTAGTTATTATTGGTTTTAGGTAGTGTCTCTCTGTTCTCGCTTATTTTTAGTTATCTTGTTCTTGGCCTAGATGCCAGCCTCTAGTCCCTACTCTAGTTTTAGCAATGAAAGCTAAAGTCGCCTCTCTGCCTTTGCTAGTGTGGAGGAGTAGTTGGATTGTTAGGTAGTTCTCGCGAAGAGTTGCTTTTAGCGCTTGCCTTTCTGTGTTGTAGTGCCGGCAGTATAGGAGAAGGTGATCTGGTGTCTGTACTCTCCCACAATCGCAGAGGTTTGAGTTTCTCTTTTTCACTCTCTCTAGATAGGCGTTAAAGTATCCGTGGCCTAGCTTGAGAGAGAAGAATGCGCTAGAGATTTCCCTTGTGTACCTCTTGGGATTT